TCGAATGCACCGTCAGAAGAGTCTGACACTAAGCTTCAAAATGTCCACGCTTTGAAATTTTAATAAGCAGCCTAGCGTAAAGTTCTTTTCTGTTCACCCTTGCTTTTATTGTAAATGCAGAATTCCTCATATAAACGATGGTGCTTGTTTGTGTTGAGAGGCATTTTAGTATAAACATGCTAAATACAACACAATAAAAGAAAGCTGGCGGAGGGAATAGAAAGACGCACACAAACACAGCCGAACATTTCGACCAAACTCTTACGGAACATTTAACGAACTCCGGCCCAGCTCCGATCAGCTACACATTTATGAGTGACAAAGTTGGACCAGGACACTGTGATTAGACGTTTTAGAAGCTTTAAGACGCGTAAGTTGAAGTGACGTGGATGTCCGGTTGGTGCGACGTTGTATTGTCTTGACTGTCTTACCGGTGACAACACGTGTTCTGTATTACAGACGACTCCATAACATGTACAACTGGCCCTAACCCCAACCCCACACACTGAGCCTAGGTCCGACGAGAGAGTGCATTCTACACCCTGCTAACGCAGACCAGCCTGACCAATCATCTGTGACAGGTCAGCTAGTAAGTAGCTGTGAGGAGCTGGGCCCTGAGTTCGTTACTAGTTCCGTCTTTATCAACGGACTACTAAATACAGCCCAAACTGTGACTGAAAAACTCAACGGGCAAGAATACAAGCTAATAAACAAACAAAAATCCACACACAAAAATACACACACACACACACACACAAATACACAATGTTAACATGAAACTAAGAAGTTGGGGGGGGGGGGAGTATGAATATAAAGGGCTATAATACGAAACAACATATATAAAAGAGGGAAATAAATATGAATAAGTTAAATAAACTAAATTAAATAAAGCTGTATTATTGATCCCTCTAGGACTATAAGAACGCCAAAACTATAAATGAAACGATTTTTTACTTTAATGAGTAGCGGCCGGTATAAAGAATGAGCAGCATGAAGACAGGGGACAATGTTTGCTGAAAACAACCAAGCAAAGTGTCTATAACTGTAGATAGTATTCTACTTCATTTAAAAACCAGAACCGATTTCCATGGTTTTCTATTGTGGTTGCTGCCCTCATCACACTTATCACTACAGTTATTGTTATTTCTGCTGCTGCTATTACCACTGCTGCTTCTGCTGCTAAGAACACTGTTACAAAATATTACAACTTTTACTACAACTTTCAACAAAAACAACTACTACTATGACCATAATTAGAACTTCTAAGAATAACAACAAAATAATTATAATTACAACAGCAAAAAAGAAAAATAATAGCAAAATTAACAACAACAGTGACCATGACAACCACCACTATTACTTCTGCTGCTGCTGCTGCTGTTGTTGCCATTTTGACTAAACAAACCTAGTAGCAAAAATATTTCAATTGTGATTACTTTTATTGTTATGCAACCCGCATTGTATTAGCTTTAAAATGGCCTTGACTCCCATGTCGACCAAGCCTTGAGGGGGTACCAGGTGCAATCCCGGGAAGTAAAAGCGGCCGCAGTAATGATGACCACATCACCCATCTTGTGCCGATTTGTCTATAAAAATATAGGTCTAGCCCTATTTGCCCTATACGCCTAATGGCGTGGAAAAGGGACCCTTCCTTGATACTTTCTTATTATATTACCTATCTGTCTTTAAAATATAATTCTACTATTAGCTCATTATTTCACACTGAGATAGTAGCACTCAGCCACTGCGAAAGAGTAAATGGTTTCAGAACCATTACAGTTGGACGTTCTGTGTTTTTATTCATTCAAGGTAATGAGTGTGTTCCATCGAACATGAGATTATGTGAATGGTAATGCGTGTGTTCCATCGAACATGAGATTATGTGAATGGTAATGCGTGTGTTCCATCGAACATGAGATTATGTGAATGGTAATGCGTGTGTTCCATCGAACATGAGATTATGTGAATGGTAATGCGTGTGTTCCATCGAACATGAGATTATGTGAATGGCAATGCTTGTGTTCCATCAAACATAAGATTATGTGAATGGCAATACTTGTGTTCCATCGAACATGAGATTATGTTAATGGCAATGCGTGTGTTCCATCAAACATAAGATTATGTGAATGGCAATGCGTGTGTTCCATCAAACATAAGATTATGTGAATGGCAATGCGTGTGTTCCATCGAACATAAGATTATGTGAATGGCAATGCGTGTGTTCCATCGAACATGAGATTATGTGAATGGCAATGCGTGTGTTCCATCGAACATGAGATTATGTGAATGGCAATGCGTGTGTTCCATCGAACATAAGATTATGTGAATGGTAATGCGTGTGTTCCATCAAACATACGATTATGTCTCTTACAGTGACGCTTTTGACCGAACTTTTATAAAACAGGAGAAAAAAAGCAAACATAGTTGATAAACTGTTGCTCAGCCAGAGTAAACATGAAGTTACATGTTAAAGAAATGTGGTTTTTCTAGGCAAATTTACGTCAAGTAGTTTGCCATGGCTTTCCGGACAGTCGGCTTCTCGATTCACTGTCGAAACTAACGCAAGACTCAAGGCCCGAAGCTGGGATCGAACCCGGCACTTCAACATTTGGTTGGTTAGTAAGCTGTCTATTGTCACACCCCACCAGCTCTGCTAAAAACATCATCTTTTCATTGTTCTCAATCAAGCAAAGAAAGTCCACACTTTTCTCACCTACATGTCAATCCTTAACAACAAATGACTCATAACTCTTTGATTTATCTATATTCTGTTTCAGTCTCTGACGAAAGTCGACCCTAATTGTCTTTAGGATGTTTCACATGTCCAACATAGTTGATAATGTTTATTTTCTATAATATATTTGACATGCTAAAGGCGGTTGATCCCTTTTTTTTTTCTATAATATATTTCACATGCACAAGGCAGTTGATCCCGTTTTTTCTATAATATATTTGACATGCAGAAGACAGTGGAACCTTTTTTTTATATTTTCACATAGTGAAGACAGCTGTTCCCAATGTTTTATATTTCACATACCATTTGATTTGATTTGATTTGATTCAAGAACCGACATCACAGCACTCGGGCATTCCCATAAGCGCTCCGTCCCTATCTTCAGCAGCCAGCGATAGTTCCGGTACTAATGGTGCCAGTAGCTTTCTGATTAAACGTCCGTCTTGCCTTTCCTCTGAGCCTTGAGCTTCTGCCAGAACCTCTCGTCACCCCCAACTGCATCAATCTCACCAGACTGTGGTGATCCATCTGCTCCTCCGCATTGTACACGCTCTCCCACAAGGCACTAACCACGTCTGCCCTATCATGTAGCAGTATTCCACCAAGTTGTGCAGAGCCAGCCAGTCTGTCCGCCTGTTAATTTCCCAACACACCGGCGTGACCCGGTGAAAAAATCCAGACAGTACTCCTCACTCGTGTCCGCCGCAGCGAAGCATGCCACTCTGCACGAAGCATACCTGTTCTGATCTTCCTCAGCATGCTTTCTGAATCAGTCACAATTACAATGTGTGTGTGTGTCGTGTTCTCTAGCCAGCGGAAAGCTGCAGTGACCGCCTCCACCTCCATTCTTAAGCTGGATGTTGTGGTATCATATGCTAGGCTCTCCTGCAACTAACGTCGACCATTAACTTTTGCTAAAAAGCCCCAAGCAATTCTTTTGCCTCTTGTCACTGAACCGTCTGTGTAAATGATCAAATCCTCTGAGCGAGCATTATCTTGAATTAATTGCTGAATGTCCACCTCTGTGGCACCTGCTGGCCAGTCTCTGCGTGATTATGACTTTACACCAGTATGACTGCTCAGGCGGCACTTTGACCCACTCCTCTCCTCGCCTAATGTTCTCAAGGATGCAAACCTGTCTGATTGTGTCTTCTGCCTGAGCCATCCATGACCTCCCTCTTATCAGCCGCTGACCCTTAACTGCACCCAGAGCTTCATTCAGAGTGTGGTCTGTGTCTGCAGCTACCCTGAGATATGACTTCGCCTGCATCACCTTGTGCCTACCTGCAACCGTCGGCAAACCAAGGATGTATCGCATACACACGACTGGGGTGTCTCTGGTGCAACCCAGAATGACCCGCATAGCTGTGTTCTGTATGCACTCTAGTTTGTCCATCTGACTCTTTGAGACGGTAAGCAGTCCCAGGCCATAATCCACCACTGACAGGATCAGGTGCTGATATAGTGTGAAAAGCATTCTCTGCTCTATGTCAATTGCAGCCATAGTCTTAAGTGCACTAAGTCCTTTTTGGCATCTCGTCACAACACTCTCCACATGGTCCTTAAATGACAGGCTCCTGTCAAATGTAATTCCCAGATACTTCAGTTTGCTCTCTCTGTTGACGTCTCTACCATCTATGGTGAGACTTGGGACATTAGTTTTAACGATTCTGTTGTCCAGAGAACACCACAAAACAGATGCCTTTTATACCAAAGACAGTTGATCCTTATTTCTCTTTATTAAATATGCCAAAGACAGTTGATCTTTTCTGTATATATTTGACATGCCGATAACAATTTATCCTTATTTGATATATTTTACATACCGCAGACAGCTGATCCTAATTTTCTTTATCTCACACGACGAAGACATTTAATCCTTCTCTCTATATTTCACATGCCAAAGACATTTAATTCTTATTTTATATATTTCACAGCCCAGGGACAATTAATCCTTATTTTCTATATCTCACATAACGAATAGAGTTAGTCCTTTTTTTCCCTATATTTTACAAGCCGAAGACTGTTGATCCTTATTTTCAAGATGTTTCATGCTGAGGACAGTTGAAGCTTCCTTTTTTATAATATATTTCAAATGCTAAACACATTTTATCCTTATTTTCTTTATTTGAAATGCCAAAGACAGTTGACGTGTATATTTTAGAATATATGGCAAAAGCTAAAGACAGTTGGCCTTTTTTTTTTTTCTTCAGTACATTTCAAATGCATAGGAAAGTTAGTCCTTACTTTTTATATTTTCTTTCAGATGCCGAAGATAGTCGATCTTGATGAGCTTGTAATCAACTGGGCATGGAATGTAATTCAGCAAAGGAAAAGTAAAATTTTTCGAAGACTCGAATTTGGAGATCTGAAATTTGAAGTCAACTGGGACAGAGTTCGTTTTCTTGCCGAGGAACCCGTCTACACAGATGAGAATAAGCTTGAAAAACAAAACTCCCAAGTTGTGTTCAAGTAAGTGAAAGCTTGCTGTTTTTGTTATTTTTGTTTTTGTGGTTCTCTTTGCTACATTATGGTTATTTTCTTGACAATCGTTACTGGTTGACAGGTACTTGGGACAAAGATTATTTCACAAAGAGAAGTTATTACATACATCAGATAGGGTTGATCAAGACTGTTTAGTATGTTCTTGGACAAGACAAGAGAGCAGTTGGGCCACGTTCTGTTGTGATGGAAAAGCTGGAGGGTAGAGAGGCGTAGCGAGAGCGAGTAAGTTGGAGAGAGAAACAAAGAGAAAGAGCGAAAAATAAAAAGAGTGAAAAAGATAGAAATAAAGACAGAGAGAGTGTGTGTGACAATAATGGAGGAAAAAAGAGAGGCGCAAAAAAAAAAAAAAAAGAAAGAAACAGACAGAGAAAGAGAGAGGGAAAACAGAGAGAGAAACAATGAAAGAGAAAAACAAAGTGAGTGAGAAAGACAGAGAAAGAGATAAAAAGAAAGGCAGAGATAATTAAAGAGAGAGAGAGAGAGAGAGAGAGAGAGAGAGAGAGAGAGAGAGAGAGAGAGAGAAACAACGAAAATGAGAGACAGACGCGCAGAAAGAGACAGACAGAGAAAGAGAGAGAGAAAGAAAGAGTAACAGAGAAACAAAGAGACAAAGAGAGAGAAAGAAAGAGAAAGACAGAGGTAGCCACAGAGAGAACGACACAGAGAGAAACACTGGTAGTCATTGAGAAAGCACTGCTGGCTTCTTTGACTGTTCCGCCTGAAGAGCAACATGTATAACTAACTGACCCGTATGTGAAGACCAGCCCAGTTATATTCGCTGTTCCTCTTGTAGGATGTAATTTTTCGTTATTTTAAAGCCCCACACTAGCTATGGCCTGGGGCCTCAATATAGCCTGACGGTTGAACGCAGTTTCTGGGACCTCTCCACGGATGATCCTCATCGGCAAGGGAGCACTTTATGTCACTAGGTGTTTGTCGGTCTGTGTTATGTCCTGATGGGGGTAAATTTTACTTAATTACTTACTAGATCAATGAAACTATCAGGCAAATTGTGGGAACGACACCTTGTACTAGATTCACCGAGAAACAGCAAATCAAGTGGTTTGGCCATCTCGTTAGAATGCAGCAAGATCAAATACCACCACAAGCACTACATCTCAGGCGATCAGCTACAAGAGCAAGAGGACGGCGGCGGAAAACATGGATCGACAACATTAAAGACACTCTAAGCCTTCACGGCATGACAAAAGCCAGTGGCAGCCAACGTGCACTGGATCACTAATTATTCCTCCCCACGGCGCTTAACGGCAGAAGTGGTTTATGATGATGATGATGACTTACTAGATCAGCACATTTGTCTCACCTAACATGCACTGATAGGATCACAAACCTCGGCGTTGACAGCAACGAAATTCGGCTCTCAACAACTGCTATCAAGCTTGACGACACAGATTTGTTATGTTTGATGTCTTATGTTTGAAAAAGGCTACCCGGCCGAAACGTTACGTTGTGTTGGTTTGTGCACGTTTTTCTCTTTTCCATTTTGTTGAGCTTTTTAGTCAAATTTCTCTGGAATTCCTTGACGACACAGGGTAAGGCACTGATATTCAATTCTCACCAGAATGGATGTCTGTAAGACTGCAGACCTCCTTAATGTCATCCTCTGCCCTACCCATCCATGATGTGTCCCTTGTCAGTCCATTGCCGTTTTCCATGAAAAGCATGTGGTGCAATGGGTCCTGCAGATCGGAGAATATCTTGAGGTATGCGGGAGCTTTCCAGATCTTAATCCTGTAGTTCATGGTAGAGAAATTAACAAGGTATATCATTGCTACACAAGAGGTGTCTTTTGTGCAAGGGTTCAAAATGCACCCAAGAAAAATGCGCATTGCTTAGTTTTGCACCTTCTTAAGTCTTTTAATCTGAGTATGGTGGACAGTGAGAATGGCTAAAGTCCCTGGAACGGAAGCAGAAGCAGTTTCTGCTTAACAATAAAGCAGCCAGGACCCACATTAGAGAGAAGCCTTAGCGTACTTTTGTTATAATATTATAATTTGTAGGACAGGCTGCGATCAAACCTCCCTCCGAGATAAGTCTTCAGGTTTGTTCTGGTCAAAATGTCGTTGTAACATTCCACTGGTGGTAAGTCTGCCTTCACTCTATGCGTGTTTAAGAAGAAACACGCTGCTGAGGCCTTAGAAATGTGCTTTGGAATCTAAACACCAGATGAAGAATAGATCAAGTTCACTTTGCGTTGAATTGGCAATCTCTTAACGATCTCTTACATGTGGGTATACGCCCTTCTCCTGCTTTAGTGTATCATCTCTCTATGGTATAGCAGATATCAGTTTCCTATTTGTGCCAGGGCACGCGGGTATGTAAGGAAATAAGCAAGCTGATCAGCGGGTAAAGCTACTTTGGATGGCAGAGGAGTCATAGACCATGCTGATATTCTATATGATCTAAGAGTTATGATCGTGAATCTGCAACAATGACCATACTGCAAGAACAATATTTTCAAAAGGGTGAGGTCAAACAAGAGCACTCTGCAGGAAGCCAAAGATGAATAAGAAACCAACTGAGAACTGGTGTCGTCAGCCGCTACACGGGATTTACCACTGAGGTGATTCGAGCATTTACTGACTGAATAGTTAGATGTACAATGAGGATAATCTTTTGAGCAACTAACTAACTAACTAACTAACTAACTAACTAACTAACTAACTAACTAACTAACTAACTAACTAACTAACTAACTAACTAACTAACTAACTAACCAACCAACCAACCAACCAACCAACCAACCGACCGACCGACCGACCGACCGACCGACCGACCGACCGACCGACCGACCGACCGACCGACCGACCGACCGACCGACCGACCGACCGACCGACCGACCGACCGACCGACCGACCGACCGACCGACCGACCGACCGACCGACCGACCGACCGACCGACCGACCGACCGACCGACCGACCGACCGACCGACCGACCGACCGACCGACCGACCGACCGACCGACCGACCGACCGACCGACCGACCGACCGACCGACCGACCGACCGACCGACCGACCGACCGACCGACCGACCGACCGACCGACCGACCGACCGACCGACCGACTGACCGACCGACCGACCGACCGACCGACCGACCGACCGACTGACTGACTGACTGACTGACTGACTGACTGACTGACTGACTAACTAACTAACTAACTAACTAACCAACTAACTAAACAATTAACTAATTATTTAACTAACTGGGGTATGGTATCCCAAGGCATTTTGTGTGTGTGTGAGCAAAAAATTTGATTTGTCGTCTTTGTATATAGTTTATAATCTGATGCACAATGGAGTGGGAAAAAAATGTCCTTCAGTTTACTTTGAAATGGATAATGTCGCATGTGTTTATGTTCAGTATGACGTACTGAAGTACTAATCGTCTTAACCGTCAATTCCTTCAGATCTGTCTATGAGAACACAACGGGCAACCCTCAGGAACACACCTTTCAGACAGAGAGATGTACTGTAGCAACTTGCAAGACTACAATGACTAAAGGGTTTACCAAGTTAGTATATCATAAGTGTGAACAGTTCTGTGTTTGTTTATGTGAAACGACTATTGCTGATCTCATCGTTTGAACCGACACAACAGCACTCAGGGCATTCCAATAAGCGCCCCGTCTACATCTTCAGCAGCCAGTGCAGAGTTTCAAGATCAATGTTACCAGAGGTAGTCTGATTATATGTCCGTCTTGCCTTTCCTCTCAGCGTCCAGTATCGGCCAGATCCCATCGTCACCCCTAACTGCCTAAATTTCACCAGGTTTTGATAAATCATGTGCACCTCTGAATTGTACAGGTGCTCCATTAGGTCATAACATCGTCTGCCTTATCATGCATCAGTATTCCACCAAGTTGTGTAGAGCCAGCCAGTCTCTCCGCCCGTTCTTACAGTTAAAGAGCGGCGGCATCTGAGGAAGCCAGAGCATCCGCATTCTCATGTGCGTGCCGATAAGCGTAGGAAGTCATGTTTCACTATCTAACACGATAAGAACGATAAGAATAGGCGGACAGACTTGCTGGCTCTACATAACTTAGTGGAATATTGATACATGACAAGACAGACGTCGTTAAGGCCCATTGTGCCATATTAAGAGACATAACACACTTTTAAAAACCATACCTCAGGGAAAGGTCGAAGGCAAGAGAGCAGGAGCTAGGCTTCGATACAAGTGGGAGGGCAACATCAAGAAATGGACGGGCAGCAGTCTGAGAAAATGTACAACCAGGACAAGAGACCGAGCATGTTGGAGATTCATTGCAGCCAACCTTTATTTTGGATACGGCAATTTATTGATAAATGATGCAAGGCAATCACAAAAATCACGAATCAAGTCACTGCTCCTGTCTCGCCCTCATCCACATGGCTTAACTATCAGTGTATTTATCTCTTTGCCTTCCTCGTGCTCTCTTTCCATCAATCCTGAACGTCATTACTTAATTCGTGAGTTCACCCCTTTGAAAATATATCCGAATGCCTGAACTGTCTAATCATTTGACGAGAGCAGAATTAAGACAGGAACCCAGAACTGGATCTCCCAGTTGAGGTGGCCCAAATCTTCTGTTAACATTTCGTAAGAACATTCTGTGCCACGATTGGCATTTTCAGTCACTTACATACACATAGACACCACTCTACCTCTTCTTCTTTTTGTTATATAGTTATGATCTGCCGTTCAGCGTCAGGTTTTGAAGAAGCATTGGCTTGGAGCTTTGGTTTATGCTACGTAGATGGTGGTATTTAGAGCCTCGGGTATTCCATCTGTCTATCGCCTGCGTGGTCCACCTCTAGACTGGTTCCATTATACCTAAGTGATAGGGCTCTCCCTGTGATTCACGGGGGTGTTGAGAACTGAACCCCTTCCCCAATTACGTATCAAAATTGTTTTTATAAGGTTTTTAATGTCATGTTGTTTCTAATACTTTTTTCCCCCAGGGAATTGGGATGGCGTGGAAGGGAAAAAAAAAAGGGGGGGGGGGGGGCTGTAATGTTTTGTTTGTATGGACTATCATTAAACAGATTTAGTTTGATAACAAGGCAGTAAATTACATTATAAGTATAGAGCAAATTTGTGAGAATCTGAAAGTACGACTTGCGGAAGGGACCCACATCCTAAATTTAGCAGCTGTATAATTAATTTTGTATTTGCAAACACGATTATATCAGTGCTATTTATATAAACAATAGGAACACTATTGCAATAGTAGAATTTGTAGTACGAACATTAGTAATCAAAATTTTAACATTGGCTGCAATATGTCATTTTTGTAGCGGTCATAAAGGGAAAAACAACAACAAACACTTGAAATACGACAGCGTAGTTTGCTTTCAAATCTAAGACATATTGTGGTCTTAAATAATCCATCGTCGTAGAGAAAGTAATGAGCCTGTCTCACACGGCTTTGGTTCCATTCTCCAGTAATGTCAGGTTTTGTCCACGTTTTGTCTGAGGGAAAATGCAAATCAGTTCTTCATGCTGCCGAGCACTACATTGGCAAGAGATCCCACCCACTCCCATTTCTTTCCTTCTTTTTTTCCTCCCGCCGTCTGGACATAGTGCAAATACAGCATTGCAAATCTATATTTTGATGTTTCTTTATCAATCAATCAGTCAGTCATCAGATTAAGGACAGGGCACAACAAACTTCGTCAACATATGTTCATACTTTTCGGTGTAGGAAACACGGAGACCTGCACCTGCAACTTCGCACCCGAAAATGCTGACAACAGATACGCAATCTGGCCTGTTCCGACCACAATAAAGACAAAGCTGTATGGTACACGAGAAGATATGGACTGCGTGATAGCTTTCATAAAAGCTACCGGCCTCCTGGTATACGTTTTCTGACATAAGGATCAAAGAAGAAGAAGAAGAAAGAATACATCAATCAGCATGTCCATTACAGAATGGTCGCTCTCTTCACGGCGCGCCTGAAAGTCTCTCTTTCTCTAATAATTTCTCCAGCCCTGTGTGCTTTCATAGTCAATAAATCTTCAATGTCCTGTATCCACGTCCGTGGAGGTCGACCTCTGCCTCGTTTCACGGAAACTGCATCCTTGATCACCGTTCTCTCCAGATCACCATGAACTTGTCCAACAAATCTCAGCTTTCGTTGTAGGCTGCTGTTTACCAGCCAGTTCTCCTTGATGTTCAGGCCATACAGGATGTTGACGTTTTTCTTATTTTCTGTCCACGGTATCCTAAGAATCTTTCTCTAGCATTTCAGTTCAAAAGCTCCGATGTTCCTATTTCGCTTTATAATAAGCAGAAAAGAAAGAGTGCTCTTGACTTACCCAACCAGGATATCACACTGAGCCATAAACACAAAGTGACACAAATTGCCACCATTCGGATGAGGATCACCCGGGGACAGGTCCCAGAAACGCTGTTCAATCTATAGGTTTTGTTATATTAGGGCTCCCTGGCAACAGCCAGGTGGGGCTTTGAATTAACGAAAAATTGCGCCCCACATGGGGGACAGACCTTTCAAGTAAGGGTAGGAATTTCACAATAATTTCCTATCAACTTCCCCCTTTTTTATCGTTGCCGGCAACGCCCTTATCAGACTGCGAACACCATAGGCCAGTGATATCAGACGCGGAGGAGTGTGATAAATGGTGCAGTGAACATTGGTCGTGGATATTATGCACCGGTATTATACATACTCGAGTTAATGAGAACTTGAGAGGCTGTGGAAATAACCAGACGACAAAAACGCACAGGTATTGATTGCTGCCTGTAGCATTAGGCCTGCAGCGCATCCACAGTTTTGGTTTTAGCGCATCATAAAAAAATTACGATATTTTTAATTGTTATTATTATTTATTGGTGTTGCAGGCGAAGTCATATCTTAGGGTAGCTGCAGACACAGACCACCCTCTGCATGAAGCTCTGGGTGCAGTTAAGGGTAAGCGGCTGATAAGAGGGAGGTCATGGATGGCTCAGGCAGAAGACACAGACAGATTTGCATCCTTGAGAACATTAGGCGAGGAGAGGAGTGGGTCAAAGTGCCACCTGAACAGTAAGACTTGTGTAGAGTCATAATCACGCTGAGTCAGGAATGCAGAGACTGGCCAGCAGGTACCACAGAGGTGGAAATTCAGCAAATAATTCAAGATAATGCTCGCTCAGAGGATTTGATAATTTACACAGACGGTTCAGTGTCAAGAAGTAAAAGAAATGCTTGGTGCTTCTTAGCAAAAGTTAATGGTCGACGTTTGGTGCAGGAGAGCCTAGCATATGATACCACAACATCCAGCTTAAGAATGGAGGTGGGGGCGGTCACTGCAGCTTTCCGCTGGCTAGAGAACACGACACACACACACACACACACACACACACACACACACACACACTTTGTGATTGTAACTGACTCAGAAAGCATGCTTAGTAAGATCAGAACAGGTATGCTTCGTGCAGAGTGGCATGCTTCGCTGCGGTGGACACGGGTGAGGAGTATTGCCTGAATTTTTTCACTGGGCCACGCCGGTGTGTTGGGAAATGAACAGGCGGACAGACTGGCTGGCTCTGCAAACTTGGTGGAATACTGATACATGATAAGGCAGACGTGGTTAGTGCCTTGTGGGAGAGCGAGTACAGTTTGGAGGAGCAGATGGATCACCACAGTCTGGTGAGATTGATGCAGCGAGGAGTGACGAGAGGTTCTGGCAGATGCTCGAGGCTCAGAGGAAAGGCAAGACGGACGTTTAATCAGAAAGCTACTGGCACCATCGTATCGGAACTCTTCGCTGGCTGCTGAAGATGGGGACGGAGCGCTTATAGGAATGCCCCGAGTGCTGTGATGTGGGTTCTTGAATCAAATCAAATCAAATCATTATTGAATTTAAAAATGTAGCTATATATATTTAGGAAATGTATAGACATATACTTGAAAACGGAGCTTATGTAGATGGTGTTGGTGTACCACACCAAGATATAGTGTACCATCATACCGACTCTTAGATCCCCTTCAAGTTTTCTTGGGGGAAAAAATGGTGAGGGGAAGGGTGTTAAGTAATAGATCAAGTTGTTTGAGCTCCTAGATTCCGGCGCTTATGCATTAGGGGTGTATGGGGTTGTTTGGTCAGTTGGTGGGCTCATCAACTAGTGGATTTATTACCGATGGATTCATTAGTTGGTTAGCTGATGCAATGAAAGACTGTAAAATATATTGTTGATTGTCTGATTATAATTTTTTGTTTAATTGGTTGGCTAATTGTTAGTTAAATAATTTAGTGTTTGACGGGATTAGGGGGTGACTGAATAAAACATAAAAATTGACAAGAAAGCTTAACGGAAGGAATGGAAAAGGGGCAGACGAACACAACCGAACTTTTCGACAAAAGTCTTTATCAACATAATTCAAAATTCAGCACAAACTTTGAGGGCGAAACTCAACGGACAATACTGGTTGTTTGGCTGGTCGGTAGGTCGACTGATTGATTGATTGGCAGTTTTTTTTTTTTTTTTTTTTGACGTTTTCATTGGTTGATTTTGTTTTTGTTGATGTTGCCTGGTTGCTTGGTTTGCTTGTTGGGTGTTTTTTGGTTAATTGCTTGTGTAGAAGGTTGGTTTGATTGGTTGTTTCTTCTTTTTGTATGTGTGTGTGTGTGTGTGTGTGTGTGTGTGTTAGTAGACTGAGTGCTTAAAAAAATTAATTGGGGAGGTGGGGGGGGGGGGAAGGTTAGTGTGGTTTACACACGACTCAAGTATACATTCATCGTCATTATCACGTGCCACCTTTCTCATGAAAATCGATTGTAATGAGTCTCAAACAAAACATGGCCTTTGATTCCGATGTAATCTAATACTAAAGGTATGTTTTGTTTATTTAAAAAAACAAAAAAAATAAAGCAAGATCAAGACTGAACGCCTCAGCGGTTCAAAACATGGTTGCTGGTTTGAGCTGAGTCAAGACTTAGTATCACAGCTGAATGGATATTCCGATATTCAGCAAACAACGAAGAGATTTCAGTACGACAGTGCCATCGATGGTTTTAAAGTTTTACGTCACGTGCAAATCTACATGTGGCTGCTCGCCAGTTAGATGTCTGTGGCTAGAAGTTTTCTGTTTTACGCACACCCACTCCCTGCCCCCTTTCTAGTACAATAAGACCTCTGATCTTTTAAAGTTTAAAAAACTTAATATTGTAGTAGAGTGCAGTGACATTAACAGGCATCTAAGTTTAAATATATGGAAACAACTTTCACCCAAGATAGAAAATTAGATCAAGAAAGAAAGCCCCCTAGTAGTGAAGAAGAAGAATGTTTATATTTTAAATCAACGCTGGTGTTTGTCAGATCAGGTTTCTCAGATGGGGCTTAACTGATCTCTAGCATTGTGACCTTGAAACTTTTGCTTAAGCATCCACTTCTCCTTGTTATCCCTCGACGCAGAATACTCAGTGAACTCTTGCCAAGTCATTCAGATATGGTTGGCCGTTGTTTATCAAGCCAGTCCAAAGACCACCAGACTTCTAAAAACAATGACTCTTTTAAAAGGATGCAGTTTTTACGATTCCTTGCCTTCCTAACGACTTCAGTAATACACAAGCGGTCGTGTGCCCTTTGTTCAAATGTCAAATCGCCCAGTTCACTGACCTCCGCTGATAGAGCTCATCTGATACAAATAGGCAAATTCACTTTATGGAAAGTGGAGGAGGATAATTCAGCGAGAGTCACCACAGAGTAATGAATGAAGCACCGCCTGCTAACAGAAGAAGTAACACTCGTCTTCTAGACAAGACTATTGATTCTAACACTCGTCCATAACTATTCACATGGTGTCCATGGCTACTGGTGTGCATTTGCACTGTCTGGTGCACAGTTGACTTTCTCTCTCATCCCTGGCTGCTTTCTGTCCTATATAACTTTCAAATTATGACAACTGTGTATCATTAACACTTAACCCAGAGATAAAACCTACCAATGAATTTAAGCATCTAGCTTCAATTTTCGGATCTGCTGGCTTAGTGGCTACACCCGATGCAGATGTTTAGCCGGATAACGACCCCGTTCTTTGAACATCGATTTCTATAATGTCCATTTTTCTTTTTTGGAGAGTTAGGGTTAACAGACAGGTCATCTAATTAGCTAAAAGGCAGATCCGACTTCTTTTGGTACAACTTCGCACAGTTCGGAGGTCGTCTGTTTCTTTCTGTATTGAAGTTCTTTGGACAAAATGGCGACATGCACGTTTAGGAAAGTAAAGTTCTCTCAATTTCCGCACCAGTCGCACTGCCGGCGCTAGAAATGTATCTTTTATAGTGATGACGTTAATTAGGGATGACTGCAGTCCAGATGATGATGACGTCAATTCGAGATTATTGCAAGCAAGCTGATTGATGGCACGTTTTATGGAGTTAAATTGCATCCTAATACTTCTGATCATCAAAGTTACAGCGATATTTCTTTTGATTTCTTTTAGCCGAAATGATGACCGTATAGGGTTTTGTTTGGTAAAGAGAGTGTGAAATAATGCCGAGTAACTGCTGAAGAAGAACGGAAAGTGACGAAAAAGAACAGAAAAAAAAGTAGGCATATAAAAACGAAACAACGAAATATTCACACATTGCAGTAATGAGAACATGGAAATACATCTGCAGATGAAAAATAGCAAACGCGGTGAATGTCCACTGGCCATTCATCAAACCAGATCGTTAACGCGGCCTTGCTACCAGGCCGAACTATCCGTATTGTTTTCAGCAGAAGCTGGGTGATGACGAGGCCGACAATATGATACTGGTGTGCTTGGCTAGGAAATGAAAAATAACTACCATGATGGCTCGCACATCGACCACTAATGATTAATAAATTAGAGTTGCCGGGAAAATAAGAAAGGTTGCCAGCTGGCATGTGCAAAACCCGAATCGTGGGATTCATCATGCAGGCGGATAGCCATGCAAATTATATTTGGTTGGCAGAGTTTTTCAGATTGCGCTTGCTACCTAATAAATGTGCATGTTGGAAGAATGATTTTTGTTCTGTAAGAGCGACAACATGCCGTGGCTTCGATTATCTTGAAATATTTGAAGTTTATTTTTGGGATCTTAAGTTTATGTTTGGTTAAAAAAAAATTATTTACATTATCTCACGTTTATATTTGACCATCTTTGAGTTATATTCCGTATCTCACCTTTATATTTGGTCAACACAGATTAACTGAACTTTGTATTTTACCATCTTTGAGTTATACTCCGTATTTTTCACTTTTTTATTTTGTCAACACAGATTTATATTCATTACTTAACCTTTTTTTTTTTTTTTTTGGACCATCTTTGAGTTATTCTCCGTGTCTCACGTTTATGTTTGGTCAACACAGATTTAGATTTATTACCTCACGTTTAAATTTGACCATCTTTGAGTTACATTCCGTATCTCACATTTATGTTTGATTAACACAGATTTGTATTCATTTCTTCGCGTTAATATTTGACCATCTTTAAGTTACATTTCGTATCTCAGGTTTATGTTTGGTCAACACAGACTTAATAATTTTCATTATCTCACGTTTATATTTCACCATCTTTGAGTTATATTCCCTATCTTACGTTTATGTTTGGTCGACACAGATTTATATTCATTACCTCACGTTTGTTTTTTACCATCTTTGAGGTATATCCCGTATCTCAAGTTTATGTTTGGTCAACACTGATTTTGTTTTCGCTATTAGGCGTCACCGATATTTGGTGTCTTGCGTGTAGCATTAATAACTAACGTTTATACTTGCTATCTTGTGTACCTGTGTGTCTCTTATGTTAGTATTTATTATCTTAAGCTTATACTATGCATTTGATATATTTATATTTGGAACCAAAGTTTACATTTGATGTTTTGGGTTTATATTTAGTACCTAAAGAAAACATTCGGTGTTCCGAGGTTCATGTTTAGTTCATGAAGTTTACATTTCGTATTCCGGGTTCATATTTGATATCTCAAGTTAATATTCGGCTCCCCACAATTATTTTTGGCATTTTAAGTTCATATTTAGCATCTCACTTTTCAATAGGCCATATAATTTAGATCCAGTACCTCTTGTTAATATTTGATCTTGTTGACGAAACAAAAATAGCGAATGTATTTTAAAAAGTTATAAGCATTCTAAGTTATATAAACACAATAAAAACAATCATGAAAAAACTCAGATTATGTTACCGAATGTATAGTTTCATGATATAGGTTAGTTGCGTATCCTTTACAGGACGTTGCAGAACCAACCCTAACAGCCCCTTGCTGTTGTGTGGTTTCTCTAGGCAATTTAGGTCCAGTAGTTTGCCATTGCCCTCTGGGCGGAGCTTTAAGATAAAGATGGATATTATGCAATACTATTTTGTTGTTGCTTGTAGAGGTCCCATCTGAGTATATATTCACACGACTTAAAATTTATTCACACTATTTTACGTTTTCTTACACGATCATCATCAATTAAAAGAAATCTGAATCATTCGCACAATTTTCATTTTATTCACTCAGTTTTAATTTTTGTTAACAAGTTTTAATCTTGTTAACAACCTTTTAATTTTTTTTTCTTATATTTTTAATTTTAATCACACAGTTGTAATCATTTCCATACAATTGTAATCATTTCCCTACAATTGTAATCATTTCCCTACAATTGTAATCTTGCCCACCTAGTTTTAATCTTGTTCACGCACTTTTTATAATGCTCACCCAATTTTATTCAGAATGACACAATTCTAATTTATTTCACGCAAATTGTATTCTTGCTCCCATAGAGGCCTTAAAGTGGACCTGAAGTTTACTCTCCCTAGTAAGATCCTCTCAGCGACCGCAGGCTTCGGCAGGGACTTGACCATTGAGAGTAGCGATGAATCCACACGCGAGGAGTCCATTAAATGGTCAATTAATAGTACAATTAGGGTAAGTGCTATAGTTCCATTACATCGCATAATGTGTGCTAGGGGTATGGTCAAATGAATGACCTTACTACACATTAACCGTGTTGAAATGGTCAAGTATGTTCGAGAGAAGTACTCAGTCTAAGTAAAAAAAAAAAAAAAGAGGTAGGAGAGCAATGAAAGTAAAGTAAAAAATAAGGTCTCTTTTCCACGCCTTAAAGCGTATAGGGCACGTAGGGCTAGACCTATATTTTTATAGACCAATTGGCACAAGAAGGGTGATGTGGTCAGCATCACGCCGGCCTCCTTTACTTCCCGAAACTGCACCCGGTACCCACCCAAGGATGGGTCGACCTGGGAATAGAGGTCATTTTTTGAAGAAGAAAAAAGTCCGGCTCCGCTCCACGACCTTCCGATCCACACGCTATCGTCTAGCCGCTATGCCAATGCGACTCCTAGGAGAGCAATGAGGACAGACAAAACATTAAGTGGAGAGATATGCAATAAAGTGTTTATATCTTTTTTTTTTTTTTTTTTTCCTATTGTTTATGAAGTAACATTTTGCAGAATAAAGTTGAATTTTTTATCAAGAATCGACTCAGGAAACCCCATTAGTGCTCCGTCCCCCATTTTAGCAGCAACCGAAGAGTTAATATTCCTATGGTACCAGTCTGATTGTATATTCGCCCCGCCCTTCCCTTGAATAGGGAGCCGCCTTTGTTTAGCGGCCTTCGGTTTCTGACTGTGGCCAGATTTTTTTCAAAAATGACTTTGGCTCCCAGGCCGAACCAGCCTTTAGTGGCTACCAGGTACAGTCCTGGGAAGTAAAGACGGCCATTGTGATGCTGACCATATCATCCAGCAAATGCTGTTTGGTCTATAAAATATAGGCCTAGCCCTAAATACCCGATGGAAGTGGCCATTACGTAGCGGCAAGACGCTCGCGTGCAGATCGGAAGGTCGTGGGTTCGGTCCCTGGTGGAGCCGGATTTTTTTGTTTCAGAAATGTCCTCGAGTCCCACGTCGACTTAGCTTTGTGTGGGTGCCGGGTGCAGGTCCTGAAAGTAAAGGCGACCGGTGTGATGCTGACAACATCACCATCTTGTACCGCTTGGTCTATAAAAGAAATAGGTCTAGCCCTGTGTACCCAATACGCCTGAAAGGCGTGAAAGAAGGTCCTTTACTTTTACTTCCCTTGAGTGTTGAGCGTCGGCCAGATCCCCTGGTAACGCCTCGCAGCGCCATTCTCCTCAGACCGTAATAATCTATTTGTGCTTCTGCACTGTTCACTCGCTCTCAAAGGCCCTCACAACATCTAGCTTGTCATACATTAATTCCCCACCAAATGGTGCAGAACCGGCCAGTCTATCTGACTGTTCATTGTCCAGCACACTGGTACGACCTAGAGATAATATCCAAAAGATGCTTACCAGTCTGCACTGAGAATGCCTGTCTCCACCCTTCTCAACATGCTCGGTGAGTGAGTTACAATCACAGCATATGTGTACAGCTGATTCTCAAGCCAGTGGAAGATAGCAGTGACTGCTCCACCTTATTTCTCAAACTAGACGTAGTGATGTCATATGCTAGACTTTGCTGTGAACCCCAATGCACTTGGTTTGCCCCTCAGTACAGAGCCATCTGTATAGATAATCACATCTCCCATGGCGCGAAATGTCACGGACCTCTGATTCTGCAGCACCAGCTGGCCAGTCCCTGTACTCACGAACTAAAGTCATAAGAACCCTGCCTCTATTGTAGGCATCAAGATCAAGTGCTGTCACAACTGTCTTCTGTCTGTTCTGGAACCCCTCATAAACATCAAAAGCAAAATTAGCTGCATTTGACCATGTATCTGTCCGTGACCACTAACTATCCAGACCTTATGACAGGAGCTCTTCCCTTTCCAAAAATATTTGTAGTTTAACAGAAATAATCTTCTCTAGCACCTTGCAAAAATTGTTTTTTAGGGTGATAATCCTGAAACCGCTTAGTATGGAATGATCTTTGCCTGGTTTTGGAAGTTGGATTAGGTATCTGTGTACCCAGTCCTGTCCTGAGGTACTGAAGCCGCTCTGATACTCTGGTTGAAGTGAAACGTCATCTCCCTCAAGTCATCATCACACATGATCTTTATGTTGGCATACCTGACTCCGTCTGGCCCAGGAGCAATGTCTTTTACATTTTGCGATACATATTTTATATCCTCCGCCCTAATGACATCCTAAAAATAATTATCATTTATTGTCTTATACAGATTAACTCTAACGGAATTTCTAAGTTCTTATCATTATCATCAGTTCAAGCTAAAAAAAATTATTTTTAAATGCTTTCCCTTTTTCTTTATCTGTCATTGACTTACCATAATCAGTGTGTATATTAGGCTTATTTTCCACGACTTTAGGCGTATTGGGAATATAGGGATAGGCCTATCTTTGTATAGACCAATCGTCACTTGGTGGGTGATGTGATCAGCATCACGCCGGCCGCCTTTACTTCCCAGGACTGCACCTGGTACCCAGGCTAAGTCGACCTGGAAGTAAAGATCATTAAAAGCAAAGTTCGGCTCGTTCGAACCCATGACCTTCCGACCCGCAGGTGGGCGTCTCGTCGCCAACACTACAGCGACTCCCAGTGTATAGACTGCCTGTTGTAAGAGATAAGAATAAACTCCACAGGGGAGCATGTACAGCAGGGGTCTACCAATCATCAGTAGAAGTAACCTCTCGTCGACAAATGTTTCTGTCTACGAGCTCCTATAATAGACCGATCCTTCCTTTGCTTCTGTCTGTGAAGTTTCCGAAACCTACCTACCCATTGATCTATCCCCTCCAATTTTGCTCACAAAATGTTCCCATTTAGCCTTATTTGCATCTGCTACAATCCGCTTAAACTCTTCTGCTTTTTATTTTCCAACTCTTTCTAACTTCTTGACATCCTCTTGTAACCTGTGAGGTATCTTTTGCAGTTTCAATGATTGTTTAAATGCTGTTAGCTTTGCTTTCCATGCAGGAAAATGTAAGAAGTGGTTTCCCGTGTTTTGCTAGTTGTGTAGCTTGTGCTAATGTTATATTGTGTCTCTGTAGTGTCTCTTTTACTTCATCCATCCATGTTTTTCTTGGTCGGCCTCTTTACTTGTTCCCTGCTGTTTTCATGTAGTAGCTTTTAGCTGCTGGCTGATTTGTTTCATTCTAAGGTAATGACCACATCATGATTTTTTTTAATGTTCTTTGAAATCATTTACCGGTAATGTGCTTAGCATTTTCTGAGCTGTTCGTTGATACTTGTCTTGCATTTCTCACGCATCTTATCTCACATGTTGTCATTTTGCGTTTTTATTTCTCTAGATTTCTCAGGCTGGATTTAGACAGGGAAGAGGTACAAGAGATCATATATCCAACATGCGTTTAATAATAGAGAAGTGTAGATAATTTAATGTAAATCTGTTCTTATGTTTTGTGGATTATTCAAAAGCATTTGACTGTGTACAACATCAGAAGCTTTGGGAAATCATGAGGAATATGGGCTTTCCATCACATATAGTGCAGCTCATTAAAATGCTCTATCAAGACCAACAAGCAGCAGTCAGAATAGATGGAGAGACATCAGACTGGTTTGGCATCAAGCAAGGAGTCCGTCAGGGATGTGTGCTGTCACCGTATTTGTTCAACCTGTACGCCGAAAATATAATGAGAAATGTAAGAGATGATATAAACAAGGAACAATATGATGCCCTAAACATCGGTGGTCATGAAATACCAGAAATTCGTTATGCTGATGATACAGTATTACTATCAACATCACAAAATGGTTTAGAAAACTTATTAACCTCACTCCAAAGAAATAGTGAAAATCATAACTTATTTCTTAACATAGCAAAAACAAAGATAATGCATACAAACAAAACTGCCATGGAGAAGGAAATATATGTTAATGAGGAAAGATTGGAAGTGGTGGAAAATTTCGAATATCTTGGGTCACTGGTTACCAACAATGGTGACACAATGAAAGAAATTAAACGGCGACTATCAATTGCTCTTCAAAGACTAAAACAACTGAATAAATTATGGAATTGTACAGATAGAATTACAAAGGTCAGATTTTTAAGAGCATGCATCTTTCCCATTGCAACATACGCCTGTGAGACCTGGACACTTACTAAACAAGCGGAACAGCGCATAAATGCATTTGAATATAAATGTTACAGACAGGTTCTAAGAATATCTTGGGTAAAGAAAAGAACAAATGCATCCATACTTCAAGAGCTGAATATTGAAGACGGTTGGCTAGTAAAGACAATAAAACAAAGAAAATTGAAATATTTTGGTCACTTGAAACGTCATGGAAGTCTAGAGAGAACAATAATGGAGGGGTATATGCCTGGGAAGAGAGGAAGAGGAAGGCCAAGGAGAAGATGGGTGCAGGATGTGGCAGATGATCTCCAGATGGGTGTATCAGACGCAGGACATCTTGCTCAGGATAGGAAGGTTTTCCGGAGTGTTGTTATGGCAGCGAGGTTCCGCGAGGGACATGCTACTGAATGAATGAATGAATTTCTCTAGAACTTGGATAGCAAAAAGTTGATATCACTGGTGCTTTATTCAGCTGTCGTGTATAGATTATCCCCTAAAATGAATGTATGCAATTCTCTGACATACCTACATCATTTGCATCAATCAGTCTGTCATCAGATGCCGTCTCCACGATGCAGATTAGCTGTATTGCATCTCCAGATTATCCTAGAGGTTAACTCTCTGAGATTGCTATTCGTCCATCTCGTGATGTTATCTACCCTCTTGTATCATTGTCTGCCTCTTGCACCCTTACCTCCCGTGGCGAAGTGATCAAGCCGTTTGCTTCGCGCTCTGAAGGTCATGGGTTTTGGTTTCGGCAACGCCTTTCAGTTCATGAGTGCAATTTTTTATTGAGATCCCTGGTGATCGTCACAGGAGCTACAGATGTAGTGCTGTGTGCGACGCTCTAGACAGGCAGCTAGTTGTTCTGCACGTTGCAATAAAGTCGATCGTCTCCCTCTCTCTTGTTTACCTCTTTCTTTCTTTCTTTCTTTCTCTCTCCCTCTCTCTCTCTCTCTCTCTCTCTCTCTCTCTCTCTCTCTCTCTCTTTCTATTTATATATATATATATAAGATAGCAACAATATTTTAACTTTCTTAGACTACTCTCTTTTTATTATGCTTTTTTTAATTGGTACTATGGGCAGTAAATGCACTTTTTTTAAATATAAGTTTTCATAATGTTAACATCTTAAATTAATTTAAATAAAGATATACATTGGTTGAAATTGAAATCTTTTCTTTTCAAACGCAGGTACCCGGAAGACATCGAACAGTAGCAGAACTAGTAGTTAAGGAACAACAGTACACGGCTGCCTTCAAAACAACGGCACGAATACGAGGTCATGTGGTTGTCATGGTGACTAATCTACGCAACAACAACTCGTTTCTTCAATGTCTGGAGCATGACTTCAGCGAGATTATAAAAACACGAGATGATATTAGCAAATATTTCACCATCGACGAAGGGCGGACGGTCAAGTGGGAGGTCACAGGGATGTGCCAGTTTCGATACGGGGTGGAACAGCATGTGCAGTTGTACGAGAGTCCGCTGGAAGCGTCCTAACGTAAAGAGGTCTTAGGTATATTAGACTTATGCTTCAGTATCGCCGAACAACAACAAAACTCAAAGATGGAAGAATTCTGATTTTTTTTTTTTTTTAATATTTAGTTCTTACATTGCAAGTTCTTATTATTACTGCTACTGCTGCTATCACCACCACCACCCCACTACTACTACTATTACTACTACTACTACTACTACTACTACTACTACTACTACTACTACTACTACTACTACTACTACTACTACTTCTTCTACTACTATTAATACTACTACTATTACTACCACTACTACTACGACTACTATTAATTACTGGTATTATTACTGCTACCACTGCTACTACATTGGACTTGAAAGCAAGTGTGACGTTGTTACCAGTTATCGCTCCTTAAGTGGGGTGTTACGGGAAAACAATATGGCCGACGTCCCATAACAAGTGTACCATAAACAAAATTAACTAAGGTTTTGTTGAAATTTGACGTTTTGAGTCGAACGACGCAGATATTACACCTTAGCTGCAAATCATAACAAAAATATACCAACCACCATCTTCAGTGCAGTTACCTTTTAGATTAAATGTCCACCCGGAAAAGGCATCTGTTTTGTGGTGTTCTCTGGACAACAGCATCGTTAAAGCTAATGTCCCAAGTCTTACGATAGATGGTAGAAACGTCAACAGAGAGAGCAAACGGAAGTATCTGGAAATACATTTGACAGGAGCCTGTCCTTTAAAAGACCTTGTGGAGAGTGTTGTGTTGTGACAAGATGCCAAAAAGGACTTAGTGCACTTAAGACTACGGCTAAAACTGACATAGAGCAGAGAAGGCTTTTCACACTATTTCAGCACCTGATCCTGTTAGTGGTGGATTATGGCCGGGACTGCTTACCGTCTTAAAGAGTCATATGGACAAACAGAACGCAGCTATGCGGGTCATTCTGGGTTTCACCAGAGACACCCCATTGGTGTGTATTCGATACATCCTTGGTTTGCTGACTGTTGCATATCTCAGGGTAGGTGCAGACACAGATCACCCTTTGCACGAAGCTTTGGATGAAGTTAAAGGTCAGCGGCTGATAAGAAGGAAGTCATGGATGGCTCAGGCACAGGACGCAATCAGACAGTTTGAATCCTTGAGAATATTAAGCGAGAAGAGGAGTGGGTCAAAGTGCCAGCTGAACAGTCAGACTTATGTAGGGTCATAATCACGCTGAGCGGAAATGCAGAGACTGGCAAGCAGGTGCCAAGGAGGTGGAGAGTCAGCAAATAGTTCAAGATAATGCTCTCTTAGAGAATTTGATCATTTACACAGACGGTTCAGTGTCAAGAGGCAAAAGAAGTGATTTAAATTTTTTTTTTTTTTTTAGCAAAACTTAATGGTAGACGTTTGGAGAGCCTGGCATATGATACCACAACATCTAGCTTAGGAATGGAGGTGGGGGTGGTCACTGTAGCTTTCCGCTGGTTAGAGAACACGACAAACACACACATCGTGATTGTAACTGAATCAGAAAGCATGCTGAAGAAGATCAGGACAGGCATGCTTCGTGCAGAGTGGCATGCTTCGTTGCAGAAGATACTGGTGAAGAGTATTGTTTGGATTTTTTCACAGGGGCACGCCAGTGAGTTGGGAAATGAACAGACGGACAGATTGGCTAGCTCTGAACACTTTGGTGGCATACTGATGCATGATAAGACCGACGTGGTTAGTACCTTGTGGGAGAGAGTGTCGAGTTCGGAGGAGCAGATGGATCACCACAGTCTGGTGAGATTGATGCAGAGGAGAGTGTCGAGTTAAGAGGAGCAGATGGATCACCACAGTCTGGTGAGATTGATGCAGAGGAGAGTGTCGAGTTAGGAGGAGAAGATGGATCACCACAGTCTGGTGAGATTGATGCAGGGGGGATTGACGAGTTAGGAGGAGCAGATGGATCACCACAGTCTGGTGAGATTGATGCATAGGAGAGCGACGAAAGGTTCTGGCAGATGCTCGAGGCTCATAGAAAAGGCCAGACGGACGTTTAATCAGAATGCTAATGGCACCATTAGTATCAAAACTTTTCGCTGGCTGCTGAAGATGGGGACGGCGCGCTTATGGGAATGTCCTGAGTGCTGTAATGCCGGTTCTTTAATCAAATCAATCAATAAAATCTTTGTGAGCGATTTCATCTCGACTTTTTTGTTATCTCTGGGTAGCCATTTGACGGTTTGGTATATACTGTTGCAAAGAATCACAACCTTTATTTGTTTTGTTTTTTAAATGAATACTGAAGGAAATGCTTTAAGATTATTCTCCCTTTGTTGCTATATCACATTTGAATCTTTCAGATGATTGTACATTTTTCAAGTGCTGTGTCATATGTACTTTAATTTGTTTCATCACTGCATTTCTACTGTCTCCCCCTGACTTTTTTTTTAAACAGTCGCTCATTAAGCGTTACTGCTTATAAGTATAATGTATTAAAAGCGTGTGGCATTTATTTTTAAATTGCAATTCAACATTTTTTTTTACTAATCTTTAAGAACAGAACCCTGTGATAAATCTTCGGGCCCACTAAAGATGCAAACGGTGTAGAACAGAATGTAATAAAAATGGAAGGCTGTAGTTATCGTGCCGGGAAGCGAACCTATTACCTTCAAATGGCATATGGACCTCGACACGGAAAGAGGTGTACTATGAACATGAACATAAAATACAGACATAACTTTACAACTTGGATGTCGCCGTGGTGTAGCCGCTAGATCCTCACATGAAAATGGCGAGGTCGTGGCTTTAGTTCATGATGAAGTCAGACTTGTTTTCTTTCATCAATGACATAAGTCCCCAGTTCGACACAGCCTTAAATGGGTACTAAGTAGTTTTCTTGGTAGTAAAGGTGGCCTGTGATGCTGGCCGCATAACCCATCGAGTGCCGACTGGTCAATAAACTTGTAAACTTTGAACAACGGATCAACATCAAGGCACACGGGTAGTAACACACAAGTGCTCCGTTTTTCTTCTAATTCAAGTCCGAGTCCGAAGAAGCTCAGCACAGTGCACAGGCTCTGTAGCACCGGCGAGGATTCTAAAATACTTTGGGTAGATTTTAACTCCACATTTTGCCCGGGCAGCGCCGTTAGGCTACTCTTTTCGATTTTCAGCTGCTAAGGGATTTTTTTTTACGTGCGCAACAATGCACACGGGCGTCCCATCCTACTACCTAGAGACCAGGGGAAATTACTAGAAGTCCAAGTCCACGTGAAAAAATCCCAGCCTTTACTGGCTTTTGAACCAGGAACCTCCAGCACTCGAGGCAGACACCATTCCTAGAGACCACGCAGCCCCCTTAGTCTTTAAAATGAATTTCTAGCCTAGCGTCTGCAATACACATGAAGGTGTGGGAAAGGGCCATATGCTTTTTATTTTACTGTAAAACTTAGATTCATAAAATGGAAAGACAATTCTAATAACCGAGTTGAATGGCGGCGGGTAATATAAGCAGCATTGAAGCTCAAGACAAGAAGAAGAAGAAGAAGTAGTAGTAGAAGAAGAAGAAGAAGAAGAAGAAGAAGAAGAAGAAGAAGAAGAAGAAGAAGAAGAAGAAGAAGAAGAAGAAGAAGAAGAAGAAGAAGAAGAAGAAGAAGTAGTAGTAGAAGAAGAGAAGAAGAAGAAGAAGAAGAAGAAGAAGAAGAAGAAGAAGAAGAAGAAGAAGAAGAAGAAGAAGAAGAATAAAGAAGAAGTCAATGAGAATCAGAGCGCTCAGCTGACATAAATCAGCAGTTCGCTGCACAAAGAGGTAGAGCTTTTACCCACTCACATTAGACTTTGGATTACATCTTAACCTTCATGCGTGACAGATTTAAAAAAAAAAAGTGTTATACTTTTGAACATGGTTTCTAGGTTTTTCTTCTGATGAATTCTTAAACACCACAGAGATCCCGGTCACTCTACATGATGGCAGAACACCAGAGGTCGACCACGCAAGTCAGGTACAGACGGAGTCCAAAAGCCGTTTATACTATCATGTAGGTAGAATATACCAATTCTCGTAACGGATCCCTCTTGAAAACCTGACGCTGAAGCGCATAACAGCACTAAATAAAAAGGAGAATTGGAGTCCCATGGCGAAGTGGCCAAGCCGTTTGCTGAATGTCGTGGGTTCGTTTTAGGCGGCACCCTTCAGTTCTGTGAGGCCTTTTTACGGAAATCCATTAGGATCGTTGCTAGAGCTACGGAGTTCGTGTTAGTCGTTCTGCGGATAGAGCTATATGGGATGAAATTCGGTGTAGAGAAGTTAATCCTCTCGACTTTAACTTTTTAAACCCTTTTCAGATAAAGGATTTGTTTGCGAATAGTTACTTCTTTTGCTACAGGATGTCCAGCTTTAAAGATATACTCTCTAGTTCAAGAAGGAAAAGATATGATCTTTCCCAAAGGTGAGGTTAGTTGCGTATCCTTTACAGGACGTTGCAGAACCAACCCCAGCTGGCTGTTGTGTGGTTTCTCTAGGCAAATTTACGTCTAGTAGTTTGCCATTGCTTACTAGACGGTCGGCCCACTGATAACACTGTCAAAACGCATGGCCCGCGGCTGGGATTGAACCCGGCACCCCGGCATTACGAAGCGTTCGCATCGACGTAGCCACAGAGCCGACGATCTTTCCCACATGTTGAAAATTTAATAATTCTGGGGGAAATAACTGTTGATTACAAAAGACTACCTTAAGTTATCTACTCTTTACGGTACCATTCATTTCTGAATAATCTGTTAGATGCATGTGGGAGACCGTTTTATTTCTTATTTTTAAAATTTGTAATTTGGTTAATTTATTATTGTATGCTAACTGTTTAATATGTATTTAAACCACTTTGTACAAGAGCTATTTGAATGTGAACAGCGAAGAAAAAAATAATAAAATGATGTATTGATTCATACTCAAGTCTTTGAATGTTATACAATTTACGTTGAGTATGTGTGTCTCTGGATGTGCAGTGTCGTATCTAGGAAACCGCAGGAAGGGTAGAT